AGGACTAAGCATGTAGAATTAGACCGTCACTTCATTAAAGAAAAAGCAGAAGAAGGGATACTAAACTTGGTCTACCTCTCTACACATCTTCAGGTTGCTGACATTCTAACAAAAGCCCTTTCAAGAATAAAGTTTGAAGAATTTACATCCAAACTGGGAATGATTGACATCTATTCCCTAGCTTGAGGGGGAGTATGAAATTCCAGAATTTGTTCCTAATCAGTTTTTGATTTTATGTTAATTTGTTTTTTCTATTTAAATAAAAGAGTGATTCTCTCCATTTGTATCAACTGTAGCTAAAATTAAGGCGATTTAGTGACAACTTGTAGTCAGGGATTTCCTATAAATATCCCAATTTATTTCTTTGTAAATAAGTGAATAAAAATTAGAGTTTTCCTCTCTAAAATCTTCAATGCTTGGTATGCCAACTCCCCTCCCCCTCCCCCCACAAAGAGCTTAGTATCGAGAAAGCCGTTTAGGATTGGATCCTAGTTGAAGGAGACAGCTTCAGATTTCCCAGGGGTGACTCGATGTTTCCACGTGGTGCTGATGCTTACATTGATGATATTAATGAACTCATCCCCCTTAACAACGAAACCATTCGAACTGCTGTCGATACAGGTTGTAGAGTAAGTACATCTCTATCTTTAACAACATTTCCTTGTATTTTGGTAGAAAAAAACACAAAGTTAACTATAGTACATTGCTCGTTTTGAACTTTTACGGTTGCAAGTTAGGGTGCTTACTTGTTAAAGAGGGACATCATAGCTATGTCCTTTGTTCCAAGAGATACACATGAAGCACAGGTTCCTTTGTTCCAAGAGATACACATGAAGCACAGGTTTGGTTCGCGTTAGAATGAGGCGTTCCAGCAATGATTGACGTCATGGTTCACAGAGACTTCCATATCCTGCAAGGCTTTCGATATGGCTCACTGTTCTCGGTGTCTTATCCCATGGTTCAGCAATGGAAAGGCGTTACCGGATTTTGTCAAATATTTCTACAAAGAGAAAATGGATGAATCCATGAGAAATATTTTTATTTGAATGCTTGCAGATGGATTGTATCTGATTGAAGTCGACAGTATTTTGAGTCCTGGTGGTTATCGGATACTCTCTGGCCCTCTGATTCGTTGGAAGCAATACTGGAAAGGCTGGGAGTGCCCAAGAAGACTTGAAGAAGGAGCAAGATTCGATCGAGGATGTTGCTAAACGACTCTGCTTGAAGAACGTGATTGAAAAGGATGAACTTTCTGTTTGGCAAAAAGCTTTCAACCACATCCAATGTTTAAAGAACAAACAGATATATCGTACACCGCAAATTTGCGAATCAGACAATGTAGATGCAGCTTGGTACTTGAATCATTATTTGATCATATGATTTGACTTCAAAATGTTAAATTTTGATTTATTGTATATGACTTCATCTGTATCAACAAGGTACACTGACATGGAAAAGTGCATTACTCAACTGCCAGAAGTAAGCAACCCTTATGAGGTTGCAAGAGGCAAATTAGAGAAATGGCCTGAGTGTGCATTCGCTGTTCCACCAAGAATTAGTGGCGGGTCAATCCCAGGTGTTACCGTTGAGAAATTCCAAGCGGTTAACGAACTGTAGAAGGGTCGTGTGGCACGTCACAAACACATTGTTAGTCAATCACATCAAGGACAATATCGAAATGTAATGGACATGAATGCTAATTTTGGTGGATTCGCAGCAGCCATGATGAAACACATTGTTATTCAATTTCATTGGTTCGTATCAAGGTTGCTGTGAAGCATTCTCGACTTATCCACGAACTTATGTTCTCATCCACGCGGGTGGTGTCTTCAGCATATATTTGGACAGGTAAAATGCTATATATCCATGTTTCTCAATGTTAACGCGTTTAACTTGTGCTCGGTTTATTATGCTAGGTGTGACATTACGTACATTATCCTTGAGATGGATAGAATCCTTCAACCAGAAGGGACTGATATTCAGAGATATTGTGGAAGTCCTGGTGAAGATTAAAATTATAACAGATGGAATGGGATGGGAAAGTCGAATTATGGATCATGAAACTGGACAATTTAACCCTGAGAAGATTCTTCTAGCCTCGAAAAGTTACTGGACTGGTGAAGCCAAACAACAACAAAGCTAGCATCGGGTTAGAGAGGGATCGAGGTATATGGCAGAATTCATGTAGAGATTCAAGGTGCTCGCCAAAATTTTCAGCCTCAAGGCACTTTTTCTGTATCAGTGTAAGTTATCAACCAATGTGATTACTCTTTAACAACATTCCATTTGATTCTGAGTGTATTATTTGTTATCTCTATGTATGCTGTAGCTTATACTGGTTAGTCAGGATGGATAAAGCTGGTCATGTTTTAAATGTAAAATTATCTTAATTTTTGGCCTTGTACACTTACAATTGAGGTCTATATAGGTGTGATTCGATTGTTCTTATTATAACTATTTGTAACTCAAGTTTCGTGGAGAGATAAGGGCCTGAAAATGTTGATGTGGCATCAAGAAAAGTCAATTTAAGGACAAGATGCTTCTATGACGCTAGGTTTGATTGAAGTGATGAGTTAGAACGACAAACCATACGAGTCGAAGAATCGAATCAAAGTGCTATCAGTTCCAACTTAAGAGCAATGCTACATTAGATAAACATCATTATAATGTAAAATATATGAGAAGAGAGGAGTCCGAGGAAAATTAAGTAGACAACTAGTTAACACATTAGAGATCTGTTGAGCAAGGTAAGACAATTCGCAACATCCCCTTTTAACGAAATAAAAAGCAACATGCGAAAGAATGAGAAAGCATAAGATTTGCCAAAATGTAGCAAACCAATCCCCATATCCAGACTGGCTATAAGTTATCAATGAGGGGCATCTGGACAAATGAATAAAACGTAATTCTTAACAGGAATAAGTTATTAGACCACCAATCACAGATAACCACTTGGCACAGTGAAAGAGTTGCCAAGTTATCCCAATGCTTGGAAGGAAATCTATAAATACCCCATTTCATTTGAAGAATGTATGCAATTCAAATATCTTTCTTTTAAATAATTATTTCTTATCTTATTCTAGTTTAAACATTTAGACTGACTAACTTAGGATGTGAAGTTCATAGTTAGGTAAGAGGATTTGTTGATTGTATTTACATTGGTTTTTTTATTGTAATTGTTTGTCAATAAAATCATTTGATCTAGTTTTTTTACCGTAAACAAGGTCAAACTCAAGAAGATTGGTATAAAATTGTGTATATCCCAGCAATACTAGGTCATGTTTAGTATAATTGTATAAAAACTTGCATAGTCACACCTAATGTCGCATTCATGACTTTTCACCTAATATATAATATCCTAAAATTTTGTGTATAATATGTTACGTAATTTGTTTAATAATGTGTTGTGAAGAGAATTAGAGAAGAAGAGGACTAGAAAAGAGAATTTACAAAAAAATGTCATAAATTAATAATGAGAAGTTTCATGGATGTTACTAATGTTCTTGCAACGTCTATGTATAGAATTACAATTTTTCGAAGGCAATTGAATTACAATAGCTAATTATTCGAAAAATAAATTTTGTAACGTAAAAAAAATTAGAAATGGAAAAAATTTTCTCGATCTCACCTCAAATGTGACGGAGATTGCCCAGTTAATCGGTCTATCGAGGGTGGGAATAGGAAATATAAGACCCTTACCTTTCATAACTTAATTATTTATATAAATAATGACCTAAAAATCTTATATATATGGAAGTTATTAAAAATATATAAATTTAAATGGGATAAACAGGGCAGAGGGTTGGGGCTAGAATGGAACATTAAAATCTTCGACATGGTGCTAAAAGCAATTAAGAACATGGATGTTACTAGATACACATGGAATAAAGATTATGTAAAGTAATTATATTATAATTCTAGTGTGATTAAGGTTATCGCATTTCAATTTTGTTCAATCGAGTAATTACGTTTTATTTCGATTTCAAACATGTAATTTCATCTATTTCTATTGCTTGAGCTGATGGAAATTGCTAACATGACATTCACTAAATCATGCACATTCCACACTAGCAACTAATGATTAAGTGTGACAGCCATCATTTATTGACTGCAAAGTCATCCATTTTCATAAGCAAAATTGGACGAAATTGTCAACTAAAATCAAATGAAATTGTAATTTGCCGATTGAACATAATTGTAATGTAATTACTTGAGTTATACTATACTAAAAGTATAATTATCGCAAATAAAATTCGTCCACTTTAAGGGAGCTATAGACGTATAATAGTTTGATTTTTACTATAAAAGTCAAACAGTAACAAGCCCCTATTTTGTGGTGATTAAAATTAATTTTTTAATAGATTTTAATAAAAGTCGATAAAATGCGTAGTTAAAAAGTTGTAAATTTCATGAAATACGTGATTAAAATTATTTGTTGACTTTTATTTAAATAAAAATTAATATTGTAATTCCAATCAGATATGGGCTAAATAAACATGATATATTTTAATAAAAAAAAATGTTAGTTAGGTATGAGTAAAAATCTAAAAATTGAAAAAGAGGTACATTTTAATTTTTTTGTTTAGAAAGGTAGTTATCCAGAATAATGCTATTCATAGTTGTTCACTGCGATAATTGCACATTCCATATGTTGGTTTGTAATTTGATGTATTAATGTGACATTTTTTTCTTACTCATATATCACATTACTAATAGCCACTTGTATGTCATGTAGATGACTGTAACAAATACAATGAGCGATTGCAAATAATATTAATTATAAAAATTTCTCTAAAGGTGTATTTGATTATATTTATTTTTCATGAAAAATATCATATCTTCACCCAAATTTCTACTTGAAGTATTTGATTGCTAATTTTTTTCATGAAAAATATTTTTCAATTTTTAAAAATATATCTAATTTTTCTTATTTTTAAGAAAAATATTTTTCTTAGATGAGGTGATTTTTATTTTTAATTCTTCATGCCAATCCAACTCTCGCCGAATGACACGCGGTGTCATTTTGGACAGTTTGAAATTGATGGAAGGAAAATAGTTAGTGTCGGTGTCGATTAATTTGCTGCTTTCTACAAGTAATCGTTCCTATCAATGTTTAAGGGTCGACTTTCCACGCCACTCGTCGTCAACTCCCTCGTAAAAAATTCCAGTATAAGCTGCTGAAGAGGATCCCGTAATTTCCAGCATCAAGAATTCGTTAATTGATTTCTTCTTCTTCTTCTTCTTCACCATTCTTTTTTATTCGAGAGTTGGAAAAATTCTTGAATGTTTTGTGTCAGTTGTATGATTGATATGTGAATTTGCATATAATGATGGTAACAGGAAGTGGGCAGTAGCAATCGTAACTGAAAGGGGGGTAACAATGGTGTTGCTTTTGTTGTCAGTATTTCTTCTTGGGGTTTTTACAGTAATTGCAATGGAAGCAGCGGGACTGTGGATTTTGATTCGCCTAATAAATCAGAGAGTTGCGAAAGAACAAGGGAAAGAGAAGGATTCAGCTTTGGCTGGCGACCTCAATCAGACTTTACACAACATGCAGGTAATTTATCTCTGATACGCGCGTTCAATGTCTCCGATTTTTTTGGGATATGAATTCTTTACTTGTGTATATTTGTCAAGGATTATATATGTACGAAAAAGGTATTTGATGAGTTAATCCACTTACACGTGTTGCTCTTTCTGCTATATGGGAAGTTACTCCGCATATTTATTGGTGTAAAACTGATATTAGAACAGAAGATATGAAATCACCACCGGTTTATATTGCTTCTGGAGGTGAAAATAAAAAATAAGCTTAACTAGAATAGATATTTCTGAATACTATGTTGAGAAGAATCATATCGTATTACCTGTGTTTATCTTTATATTTTGTCATTGATGTTAACTTGTCTTTTGCCTCAAAAAAGGCTGGAACATGAATAGATGGAAATTTGTCCAATACCTTAATTGCTAATTTAAACATCCATCTTGAAATGAAGTGGGCTTGAGTAAGGGCATAAGTGGTTCAAATCAAACAAAAAGACCTCTGTTTATGTTTGTGATGACAAGCAGCACACTGCAGATTGCAATATCTTATCAGTTCTCGATGGAAGAGGGGATAAATCTTGCTGTAAAATGATAAACAAGTGGAGAACAGCAAATCAATGATTGTTTTGTCATTGCTGAACTGAGACAAAACTCTGCTGAATATTATTATAAAAAACTCAAGGCAAATTAGTAGAGCCACTATTTATGTTCCTAGGCCTAAATGATGTAAATTTTAATCAAAGTGAAAAAAGTGTATCTTCGTAGAAGAACAAAAAGACACAATATTCTGGCATCACAACACATGGATTGGGTGATGTTGAGGCGTATGGAAGACGTGTTAAAGACATGAAGGAGAAAATTTCGCGACAAGGATTGCAAGCTTGCATGGATCTTATTCCGGGTTGCATTGTATGGTGTATGCAGAGAGAAAGAAACAATCGCTGCTTTGATGATCAAACAGGAATGGCAGAGCAAATTAGAGAATTATTTTATTTCACATTGTGTATGTGGTTTAATGTTGCAGCTAGTAGGCATATAGATGGGCTGCCCAATTTTATGTTATTCCTTTCTGCTTTAAATTGATAATACACTTCTTATATATTATGTATTAATTAATAAAATATTTGATTACCTTTCAAAAAAAAAAGAAAAGAAATAAAAATAAAAACAATCAAAGAAAGAAAATTAATAACCACTTCTTTCCAAATTAGTATCTGCCTTTCTACTTTGATATAGTGTTACTCAGTAAAAAACAATTCTCTTTCTTTCCTAAACCACCATCATATTTGAACTACCATCTTTAGCATGGGGAGCCTATTCTAGTTGAAAAAACAATATCTAGCCCTTGTTTGAACCCCATTTTTGCTAAGAAAATACATTTTTGAATAGTGTAGTGATGTGAAATGTGTGGTTAAAAAATAAGGAAAAGTTTTAAATTTTCGTGTAATATTATTTTATTGAAAAATGTGTGGTTGAAATGATGTCAAAACACTGTTTAAGAATGTATTTTTTCAAAAAAATGGGGCTCAAACAAGGGCCTAATATGTTGCAATTTACCTTTCAAAGAACAAGCCCCCAATTTAGTTCAAAATGGTAGAAAACAATTATTTGGATAATGCTATTTTTATATAATTCTCTCCTTGCAAGAGAATATGCTTCAATTTTTAAATCCACACCAAACCTAAGGGTGATACTTAATGTGAAATGGATGGAGTGAACAACTTCCAAACGGAAGAAAATGCATGACAGCATAAAGCTAAGGTAATAGGATTTCTATAGTTGCAACTGCTTTTTAGATAAAGTTCATTTTTGAGCTGCATTAATTTGTTCATTAACCATCTGTGAACAAACGATTGATCAAAAACAAGCTGGAGTAAAAGTGGTTCAATAGAAAGTAATCTTCAAAATTCAAATTATTAACCTAAGAAGTATGAAACAGCGTTGGTTACAGAAACAATACAGAATGACATAGTGTTGCATATATTTACATTCTAGAAGCAAGTATTTTGTTATCATGCCACAGAAATATATATGATATTCTTATATCAGCCTTCATTTCTTCACAGTGCTTCTAAAATTCCTTGTTATACTTTTGAAGATATTCCCCTTTTTTGAGAATTAACTCCTAGCATAATGTCAATGATCAGAAATTCAATAACTTAGTCTACCCAATCTGGTTGATTGATAACATCTTCTTTTTTTACGTGGTAGCTTCCTGAATATTTTTGTGCTAATTATTCTTTCCTTACATTGTCTGCTCGTGAGTCCCTCGACCTTATCCTTTGTCAACATTTGTTCGGATGGTTAAATGCCTCTTCCGAGTTTAAAATATTTACATAGTCTCGAGATCATAAGAAAAGTACTAGTGATCAATTCATGAGTTTTGTCACTGCAAGGTTTTATTGTCTGTTGTTTTAGTTATATGATAACAATGCAGTGAGGCATAAACACATATTTTCTTCCATTATAACCGAGGTTTTCCGGATAAGTCCCTGTCTTCCCAGAAAATTTGTTGGGTTTGTTAAACACAAGGTCTTGAGATTTTAGGATTATGAAGAAGGATAATGTCTAATGTCTATATGGCTTTACCATGGTCTACCCTGCTCGGGAGCCATGCTAGAAGTTTTAGAAGCACCACTTTCAACCCCATTGCTTGTGGGATTAGTTGGCTCTTTTCATCTTCCACTTCATTACTGGATATGCAAGGTGTTACTGTAGTTTTCCAATAATTTTCTTTCGTTATGTAGTCCTTTGTAAAATATAATCAACAATTTTCTGGAACTTGCAAAATTGTTTTTTTGTTATTTTGCATGATACTCATATTTCTAATGGAGAAAACATAAATACCAAAATGGATAAAAAGTTGAAATTGCTCAGATCAAAGTAATGCATTTAATGCATAACCCGGGTTTTATCAATTTAAATAATTTCAGTTTCTATTGATAAATACTTGCAAGCATATAGACTAGCATCATATGTCCAAATGTTGGCACCTCAGCTTTTTTTATGAACATGTATTACTTTTCTTTGTGCTTTGTTCTTCATTTGAAGAAATATTATATTCTCCCCTTCTGTTTTGAGGAACATGGAGAATTTCAACTTCTGTGTTTGGGCAAATAGATATTGAAGTATGATACTTCTTTATTTCATCACTTGTTGTTCCCTTCTTTCCCTTTAAATACCCATGAAATAAGTTATTTCTTCTATAAGTTTTCAACATCTCTTCAATTTTGTGTCTTTCAAATGTCTGAATACTAGAAACTTAGCTGCTTCAGGTCTGAGCATGTATTTTATAATATACGAGTTAGTATCTAGTTTCTTTGAGCATGTTACCAACCTCTTCTTCAACAGTTGCTTTTTGCTGTCTATGCATAAAATCAAACTAGTATACAAAAATTAGAAACTTTAAATTACTTCCCATTATTGCATATGACTGCAAATTTTCGATACATGATTATTATTTAGGAAAACTGCATCATTATTGTAGTATATATAATTCTTTTTGTTTTCCCTATCATATGCATTTTCGTTTTTTGGTAGGGGATTGAGTGGAAGATTTTCCGGAACATATACAAAGTATCATTTTTATGCTGGCATCTTGCCTACATGCTCATCATAAATTACATTAATTATCATCTACCTACCTTTCTTATCCTAAAACTTTCTCAAATTTATCATTATGTTTTTGTTGGTGTTTCAGGGGCATATATGGGTTCTAGAACCAGAAAAGGTTCTGAAACCCGGGCTTTTGGACAATTTGCCTAAGGAGCAAAAGTGGAAAAAGGACTTTTTGGAGGTTATACCTGCCCAGAGATATGCAAAAGTTAAGGATCACCTTCTTATCCTGACTGAGACAGATGGTTCACATGTAGAGATTTCACTCAAGGGATGCAAAATAGCAGCTGTATCAGCAACAAGCTTGTCCTCAAGAAAATGGTGATTTGACATTTTCTAGAAAGTCTTTTAGGAATTTGAATTTCTGATTACTTAGGTGCAAGTACTTATGTTTAGGCGCCTTTTTCTATACTCTTGACAGACAGACTTTGTAAGCTGTGATTTCTGGTCAAGAATTAACTTTTCAATGATGAATTTCCAAATCTATTGTCTCAATTCATGTACATCATTGAATATGCTGTTTGAGGCTTACATTTGAGAAAGAGAGTTTACTCTAAATCAACCCAAGTAGCAAAGTTCCTGTTCTGATTGGTTCAAGGTGTCCTGATTAACTCTAATAAACACTATTTGGCACTTAGCGGATTTTTCAATCTTTTAGTGGATTTTTGTTCTGACAAGTGACAATGATACATCCTTTTTGGTTTAGTTGGTTTTGACTGACAGATCTTACTGAATTCATGACCAAGAAATATTGATGCCCAAGTAGCAATAACAAAGTAAAATATAGTAAAAATATATTCTGTGATCAAAATTTTTTACCCTGCAGTATATTACATGCCATGCATTTACAGAAATCCTTTAAATTGTTCCAATCCATTTTACACTGTTCTAATCCATGTCAGGATTTTTTTATTTTTATTTTTTATTTTTTTAAATTGTTCTTATTTATTTCTTTATTCCTGTTTGGTTTCAAAGAATTCTTATTTCTCCATGACTACTGTGTTATATTCCTGGAAGAACAGTAACATGTGTTTCTTTCCTTTTCTTATAATAGGGCAAAAAGATATCCCATAATAGTGGAGAGCGAAGGTCCAGTAATATATAAGGGAAGTAAAACAATTTACATATATCTTGAGACATCTTGGGAGAAGGAGTCGTGGTGTAAAGCCCTCCGCCTTGCTTCTTGCGATGAAGACAAGCTTAAGTGGTTCAACAAGTTGAAAATAGAGTTTCAAAATTACGTGACATCATTGAATACAGGATATCATTCTTTTATGAAACCCTCTGGGGTTTTCAGTGCTGAACCACTTGATAAGCCTATCAAGTTTGATGGTTCATCAAAAGTTCGCCAGTTCCTCAAGAAAATTGCAAAGAAGACTTCTAAAAGTGGAGTAGATTATGTAGCAAGTGGAACTTCAACTTCAGGCCGTGATGAAAGAAAGTTGGGTGAGAAGTCTTGTTCATTCCAAGACTCAGTTCTGGCTCCTGGCTTAGTGAAATTGGTCTCAACAGGAAACCTCTCTAGTGTTTCTTCTGAGGATGCTAGTGTGGCGTCATCAACATCAACTTCTACTGAGCCAGGAAGCAGAGTTCATATTTCTGGAATATCTGATGTGGAATCTGATCTCAGGAATTCTAGTGACGATGGAACACTTTGTTTGAATTTGTTAATATCACGATTGTTCTTTGATGCCAAAAGAAATTTACAGATTAGGAACTACATCAAAAATCGGATTCAGGTTTGTCTCATGTATTTAAACCATTGATTTTACTGAAAGTTTTTTACATGTGAATGCACAAAAAGGTTGGCATGTTTTTACGGTTTTTTTCTTTTCTCCTTTTGTTTTTTCATTTTTTTTCCCTAAAACATGATGTATTAAATAACCTTTTAATTAAAATTTTTAATTCAGATAATATTTCTTGAGTTTTCTATACGTAACTTTATGTTCTTGTAGGTTTTCCTCAATATAATTTTGTAGACTTGAAAGATATGAGGAAAAATAGAATTAGTTTTTCTATATTTGAAAAATAGAATTAATTTTTCTATATTAGCTCTAGTAAATCATAGGATTATAGGTTTCTCTTTATAGGAGAAAATACAAGCAAGAAATCAAGGATTGACAAATATTCTATTAACAGCAAATATTTATAGTTATCAAATCTCCTAATATTCGGTAATTCTACTTCCTATTCTTTGATTTCAACACCCCCTCAAGCTGGTTTGAAGATATCTTCCATAGCCAGCTTGCCAATTAGTATGTTAAACTGTTTTTTATGAAGTCTTTTTGTAAGCACATGATTTGCTCGATGGTAGGAATGTACATCATACATATCAATCCGTTTTTGATCTTTTCATTGATGAAGTGTTTGTCTACCTCCACGTACTTTGTTCTATCATAAAGCACTGGATTGTGAGCGATTGAGATAGCATCTTTATTGTTATAGTGCACTTTTATAGGCAATGGATTAGAGGTCTTCAACTCTTCGAATAGTTTCTTAGTCCAACACTTCACAAATTTCACGAGCAACTGATCTAAACTCTGCCTCTACGCTATTCCTAGCTACCACATGCTTTTTACTCTGCCAAATGACAAGGTTGCCTCCAACAAATGTGCAGTTGCCAGAAGTTGATCGCCTATCAAGAGTACTTCATGCCCAATCCGCATCAGTATAGGCTTAAACTTCTAAATGTCCACAATTTTTGAATAGATCGCCTATCAAGAGTACTTCATGCCCAATCCGCATCAGTATAGGCTTAAACTTGTAAATGTCCACAATTTTTGAATAGTAGACCTCTTATAGGGGTTTCCTTTAGGTATTTGAAAATTCTATGGACTGCATCAAAGTGTTCTTGTCCAAGTGCATGCATGAATCGGCTAATCATGCCAACTACAAATGCTATATCTGGACATGTATGT